TAATACGTTGTTGTATCCCTGCAGATATTTCTCGTTCTAACCACACAATTACTAGTACACCTGTTATGATTCCCAATATAAGAGAAAATATAGGGACAAATATCCATATGAGTCCATAGACCTCTTTTAAAGATTCCAACCTAACAAAAGAATTTATAGTTTGTACTTCTGTTGCATAAATTATCATTTTAACGATCAACCTCTCCCATAATTATATCTATGCTACCGAGTATCGTCATAATATCAGCCAGTTTCATTCTTTTAACTAGTTCAGAAAGAATTTGCAAATTAATAAAACCCGGCGGTCGGATTTTCCATCTCCAAGGAAAACCACTTTGATCTCCTATCAGAAAAATTCCCAATTCCCCTTTTGGAGCTTCAACTAAAAAGCATGGAGCTGAAATAACTCACTCACAACACCTTTTAAAGGATTACGTGGTACAATTGCATCCAATAAGCCCTTACGTAATAAAGATTCAGCCGCTTGTGAACCTTCAGGCACGGCTTTTTTCAATGTTTGTTCAATTACTCTTTTACCCGCAAATGCAATATAGGCATAGGGTTCGGCAATAATGATATCCCCCAACATACCAAAACTAGCTGTCACCCCACCGGTAGTAGGAGATGTAAGAATTGATATATAGAATAACTTTTTACTTGATTGATAATCACATAAAACCGAAGAAATTTTAGCCATTTGCATCAAACTTAAACTTCCTTCTTGCATTCGTGCTCCTCCCGAAGAACACACTAAAATAAGAGGTAAACATTGATTGGTAGCATACTCGATCAAACGAGTTATTTTTTCGCCTACTACGGATCCCATACTACCCCCCATAAACTGAAAATCCATAACCCCAAGGGCTACCGGAATACCGTTTAGTTGACCTGTACCTGTTTGAACAGCGTCAGTCAACCCTGTCTTTTTTTGAGCAGAGTCAATACGCTTTTTATAAGGTTCCTCCTTCGAATGAAATTTAATGGGATCCGCAGAAACCATGTCTTCATCCATAGGATTCCAAGTACCTGGATCAATCGAAAGCTCAATTCTCTCTGAACTAGTCATTTTCAAATAATGTCCACATTCTTCACAAACATTCATTTCGACTTTCTTATACATTAATCCATAACAATTGTCGCATTGAATCCACAATTGATTGTAGTTTTTAGTTATATCGAAATCCTTATAACTAATTAAATTATTACGATTCCTATTAGTTCTTATCTTGTAATTTTTGCTTTGACGAATCTTTCCACTTTCACTACAAATGAAATTATAAATGTAACTTTCATTGGAATTATTACTATCGCTTAAAAAGTGACTATCAATACAGATGTGAGAATGAAAATAAGAGTCAATGCAACTATTAATGTGATTATTACAATTATATTTAGTATCCTTAATGTAAGGATCATAGTGCAGATCGTTGTCACTTTTAGATCTATTATTCAGATAACTAGAACTACAATAACTATAAAAAAAAAATTCTAGGTCACTCAAATCATTGTTAATTTCAAATTTTTTCTTTTTTATATCAAAATATATAGAATAACTATTCTTATTACTATCCCTAACAAAAAAGGTGTCATCTGATATGAAATTACGAATGTCCTTGTAGCTAACTAAAAGATCAACATTATTGTAATAACTAGAACGCTCACCCCAACCATAAAAGTTTTTATCCATATCATATATAAATCGGTCTTTACTTATAGTAGTCTTTTCAATAGGAGCAAAACTATCCATTGCTTTACTTAGCTCGCCTCTGTATTCCAATTCTCCCTTAAAAAACATCAAATTGAACCACGACTTTTCCATAGAGGTTCTGGCCTTTATTTACATGAAAATACAATAACAATAGATGAATAGTCATTCAATGAAAAAATTGAAAAATGCAAAAATTTTTTGAATAGTTCCTTTGCTATTCAGAGTAAGCAAAGCATATCTTAGCAATTGCTAATTGCTAAGATTATTAAGTAAAGTAATTGAAATTTACAAATTTCAATTATAAATGAAAATAACGATTTTCTTATATTGTATAAAATTCCCATTAAAAAAAATAAATAAACAGTTGTTCTTCGCTTATGAATATAACGATATGAAGAACTTTTTTAGTAAAATCTCGTATACTAATATAAAATATATAAAAAAAAAAAAAAAAGTTTTTATTCCAATACGGAATGAAAAGAAAAGGACAGCATGCAGTATGGGTAGAAAAAGTGGGGATACTTGGTTCAAGCCCTGACATGAAACTTAAAAAAAGAATATAACAATCCTAAGAATCCATATTTCGTATAGGATTTCTTGTGTACACAACACTACAATACAAAATTATAGTTGTGTTTAATCTTCTTTTTTTTGTTAAGATTTTGTATATCTAGATTAAGTATGTATCTATCACAAATAGTATATACAATCGATAAACTCGGCTCAATCCTTTTAGTAAAAAAAAAAGATTGAGCCGAGTTTAATTGCAATTAAACTAATAAAATAAACTAATAAAACGAACGTGAATTACTAATCTAATTTCTACGCTTGTCCATCTAATTTATCAATGGTTGGGAAGTTAAATCTGATCTCCTTCCATACTTCACAAGCAGCAGCTAGTTCAGGACTCCATTTGCAAGCCTCACGGATAATTTCATTACCCTCCCTTGCAAGATCACGACCCTCATTACGAGCTTGTACACATGCTTCCAGAGCTACTCGGTTAGCGACGGCACCCGGTGCATTTCCCCAAGGGTGACCTAAAGTTCCACCACCGAATTGTAGTACGGAATCATCTCCAAAGATCTCGGTCAAAGCAGGCATATGCCAAACGTGAATACCCCCCGAAGCCACAGGTAGAACACCCGGTAGTGAGACCCAATCTTGAGTGAAAAAGATACCGCGGCTTCGATCTTTTTCAACATAATCATCGCGCAGTAAATCAACAAAGCCCAAAGTTGACTCCCTGTCTCCTTCAAGTTTACCTACTACTGTACCCGCGTGAATATGATCTCCACCAGATAGACGTAAAGCTTTAGCTAGTACACGGAAGTGCATACCATGATTCTTCTGTCTATCAATAACAGCGTGCATTGCACGGTGGATGTGAAGAAGTAGGCCATTATCTCGGCAATAATGAGACAAACTAGTATTTGCGGTGAATCCCCCAGTTAAGTAGTCATGCATTACGATAGGAACTCCCAATTCTCTGGCAAATACAGCTCTTTTGATCATTTCTTCGCATGTACCCGCAGTAGCATTCAAATAATGCCCTTTGATTTCACCTGTTTCAGCCTGTGATTTATAAATAGCTTCGGCACAAAATAAGAAACGGTCTCTCCAACGCATAAATGGTTGGGAGTTCACATTCTCATCATCTTTGGTAAAATCAAGTCCACCACGTAGACATTCATAAACTGCTCTACCGTAGTTCTTCGCGGATAACCCCAATTTAGGTTTAATAGTACATCCTAATAGGGGACGTCCATACTTGTTCAACTTATCTCTTTCAACTTGGATACCATGAGGTGGTCCCTGGAAAGTTTTAGTATAAGCAGGAGGGATTCGCAGATCCTCTAGACGTAGAGCAGCCAGGGCTTTGAACCCAAATACATTACCCACAATCGAGGTAAACATGTTAGTAACCGAACCTTCTTCAAAAAGGTCTAAGGGGTAAGCTACATACGCAATAAATTGAGTTTCTTCTCCTGGAACGGGCTCGATGTGGTAGCATCGTCCTTTGTAACGATCAAGGCTGGTAAGCCCGTCGGTCCACACAGTTGTCCATGTACCAGTAGAAGATTCAGCAGCTACCGCAGCCCCTGCTTCTTCAGGTGGAACTCCGGGTTGAGGAGTTACTCGGAATGCTGCCAAGATATCAGTATCCTTGGTTTCATATTCAGGAGTATAATAAGTCAATTTATACTCTTTAACACCAGCTTTGAATCCAACACTTGCTTTAGTCTCTGTTTGTGGTGACATAAGTCCCTCCCTACAAGTCATGAATTTAGAATTCTTGCAATAAAACAAAACAACAAGGTCTACTCGACATAAATTAGGAATAGATTTAATTAACCTTTTTCACAGGAATCTTTCACAAAATTATCAACTAATCAGAATGCTTTTTTATTAGACCATGATATTTGATTCGCCAAATACATCATTATTGTATATTCTTTCATATGTATAGCGCAACCTAATACTTGTTTTTCAAGTTTTGAATCTTTGACTTTTTATAAATCGAAATATTTAATATTAAAATAATAATAAAATCACTCTTGACAGTAATATATTTTGTATATGTAAATCCTAGATATGACAATATGCGGAATTCATCCATGAAAATGAAAAATAAGGGGGTTGATAAAGGGATGAATAGATGGGACGCATAACCGGAGATGCTAAAATGAAAATACGAAAAAAAAGGGCTAATGCGATTGAAATAATGAATCATAAATAGAGTTCCGTTTCGAATTCGCTAGATAAAACAAAGTCTTGCCTATTATGATAAATAAATCAAAGACTTTCCGCAAAATTGTTATTTTTTATTCATATATTTTTTATTTTAAAACTAGGTTTCGGTTAGTGGAGCTTGAAAATAACTAGTCCTTCATTGAATAAGTAAAAAATTGAATTGCACATTCGCTTGGGTGGTACCAACGAAATCGAGTGCTTACTCCCATTTATTATTGAATTAACCGATCAATTTGCTATCGAAGATTTTTTCTGTATTCGAAAAATTTCGCAACAAAATTTAACATATTTTTTAATTTTTATTATGAGAATAAATCCTCCTACTTCGGATCCAGAGGTTTCGATACGTGAAAAAAAAAACCTGGGACGTATTTCCCAAATCATTGGTCCGGTACTGGATGTAGCCTTTCCCCCGGGCAAGATGCCTAATATTTACAATGCTCTGGTGGTTAAGGGTCGAGATACTCTTGGGGAAGAAATTAATGTGACTTGTGAAGTACAGCAATTATTAGGAAACAATCGAGTTAGAGCTGTAGCTATGAGTGCGACAGAGGGTTTAAAGAGAGGAATGGATGTGGTTGATATGGGAAATCCTCTAAGTGTTCCAGTCGGCGGAGCGACTCTAGGACGAATTTTCAACGTGCTTGGGGAACCTGTTGATAATTTAGGTCCTGTCGATACTCGCACAACATCTCCTATCCATAAATCCGCGCCTGCTTTTATACAATTAGATACAAAATTATCTATTTTTGAAACAGGAATTAAAGTAGTAGATCTTTTGGCCCCTTATCGTCGTGGGGGAAAAATCGGACTATTCGGTGGGGCTGGCGTGGGTAAAACAGTACTAATTATGGAATTGATCAACAACATTGCCAAAGCTCATGGTGGTGTATCCGTATTTGGTGGAGTAGGCGAACGGACTCGTGAAGGAAATGATCTTTACATGGAAATGAAAGAATCTGGAGTCATTAATGAACAAAATCTTGCGGAATCAAAAGTAGCCCTAGTTTACGGTCAGATGAATGAACCGCCGGGAGCTCGTATGAGAGTTGGTCTGACTGCCTTAACTATGGCAGAATATTTCCGAGATGTTAATGAGCAAGACGTACTTCTATTTATCGACAATATCTTCCGTTTCGTACAAGCAGGATCCGAGGTATCCGCTTTATTGGGTAGAATGCCCTCTGCTGTGGGTTATCAACCCACCCTTAGTACCGAAATGGGTTCTTTACAAGAAAGAATTACTTCTACGAAAAAAGGGTCCATAACCTCTATTCAAGCAGTTTATGTACCTGCAGACGATTTGACTGACCCTGCTCCTGCCACCACATTTGCACATTTAGATGCGACTACCGTACTATCAAGAGGATTAGCTGCCAAAGGTATCTATCCGGCGGTAGATCCTTTAGATTCAACGTCAACTATGCTACAACCTCGAATCGTTGGCGAGGAACATTATGAAACTGCGCAACAAGTCAAGCAAACTTTACAACGTTACAAGGAGCTTCAGGACATTATAGCTATCCTGGGGTTGGACGACTTGATAAATATATTTACAAGAATGAAGAAAATGGAGCAAAAATTAATAAAAAAAAAATACCATTAATTTTATTTCGACTATAAAAAATTTAATATCCAATAAAAAAAATTGTAGTTATGACCTATGCTCTTTATCACAAGCATATGTATTTTACAAATTATCACAAATTCAAGTTAGTAACTTTTATAAATTAAAGGCTGTTCTTGAATATAACATATGCATAACATCCTTTTTTGTTAAGAATAAAATAAAAGATTTTTTTCAAGAACAAAGACTCCTTAATTATGAATTGAAAGATAAAACCTTTTTTAATTCGGAAGTCAATCCATGGAAAAACTGGTTACGAAGTCATTCTCAATACAATTTACCTCAGATTGCATGGGCTAGATTAGTAACCCAAAAATGGAAAAAGAAAATAAACCAGGACTCTACCATTCTAAATCGAAGTTTAACAAAAGCAGATTCATATGAAAAAAACAAATTTGATAATTACAAAAAACAAATTTTTTTGAGACCAACTCATTGTTAAACCCAAAACATAATTTGAAAAAAGATTATATATAAAATCTTTTTTGCTACAAATCTATTAATTCTACAGAAAAGAAATTTGACATGTATATAGGCATTGCTCTAGATAATTGTTTATTCTCTTGTTTTCTAGAAAAATATAATATTAGGGGTATAGGGGAAATTCCGCATAGAAAATATTTGGATTGGAGAATTCTCAACTTTTGGTTTAGAAAAAAAGTCAATATTGAGCCCTGGGTTGATACCAAGAGTCAAAAAAAATATATTAAGAATAACGTTCAGAATTATCAAAGAATTGATAAAATAACTAATAAGGATCTTGCCAATCCAAAAAGTTTATTTTTTGATTGGATGGGAATGAATGAAGAAATACTAAATCGTCGTATAACAAATTTTGAATTGTTTTTCTTTCCAGAACTTTTCTTATGTTCTAGTACATATAAAATGAAACCGTGGGTCATACCAATTAAATTACTTCTTTTCAATTTTAATGAAAAAAAAAATGTTAATAAAAAGACCACTTTAAATAAAAAAGGTTTGATACCATTAAACGAAAAAAAAACCTTCTATTTTATAATCTAAATAAAGAAGAAAAAGACTCGGTAGGTCAAGGAGAGCTTGAATCAGATAAAAAAAAAAAAAAAAAATATTGAAGAAAATTATGAAGAATCGACGATAACAAAACGTAAAAATAAAAAACAATACAAAAGCAATACCGAAGCGGAACTTGATTTATTTCTCACAAGGTATTCGCGTTTTCAATTGCGATGGAATTGTTTTTTTAATCAAAAAATTCTTAATAATGTAAAAGTATACTGTCTCTTGGTTAGACTAAAAAATCCAAACGAGATAGCGATATCTTCTATTGAAAGAGGAGAGATGAGCCTAGATATTCTAATGATTGAGAATAATTTTACTTTTGAAAAATTAATGAAAAAAGGAATATTGATTATTGAACCTATCCGTTTATCTGTAAAAAATGATGGACAACTTATTATATATAGAACCATAGGTATTTCATTGGTTCATAAAAATAAACACAAAATAAGTAAAAGATATAAAAAACAAAGCTATATTGATAAAAAAAATAATTATGATTTCTTTGTCCCTGAAAATATTCTATCCCCGAAACGACGCAGAGAATTTCGAATTCTAATTTGTTTCAACTTAAAAAAAAATGCGAGAGATAGAAATTCAAGATTTGATACGAATATTAAAAACTTGACCACAGTTTTGCATAAAAAAGAAGATCTTGATAATGATAAAAAGAACCTAATTAAATTAAAATCCTTTCTTTGGCCCAATTTTAGATTAGAAGATTTAGCTTGTATGAATCGCTATTGGTTTAATACTAGTAACGGAAATCATTTCAGTATGATAAGAATACATATGTATAAGCGATTTCAAATTCATTAATGATAGATCCTTTTTACTATATATAATATATAAGTTACTGTATATGAAAACAATTATATGCACAAATTTGAGGAATTATTTTAAATTAAATCCTTTATACATGAGATTCATTTAATCAATGACATAGATACCAATCAGAGCAGCTTCATAAATAAATTAAAAGAATCCTCTTTTTTTAGATCTAAATTTAGACTTTTTTTTATAAAATTAAGAAGTTGATAATTAAATTCAGATCCTTGTACAAAAAAACTACCATTATTATTACTGATCAGTAAAATTCATATCTTTCAATTCATATTAAAAAATAAAAAAAAGGAAGGATTTCTTTTTATGATAAAAATGCATTCATTTCATTTCAAGAAAAAAAAGAAGAAAGCAGGGGGTCTGTTGAATTTCAAGTATTAAGTTTCACTAATAAGATACGAAGACTTACTTCACATTTGGAATTGCACAGAAAAGATTATTTATCTCAGGGGGGTCTACGAAAAATTCTGGGAAAACGTCAACGACTGCTGGCTTATTTGTAAAAAAAAAATAGAGTACGTTATAAAGAATTAATTAATCAGTTGAATATTCGGGAATTCAAAACTCGTTAAATTCCAAAATTGTGAATTAGTTAATTTTTTAGATATTGAATTTTTTGATAAACTTCTTTTTCAGCAATCTAATTCATGCCAGAACGAATAAAGGAAAAACTTATGAAGAGACCAGTTACAGGAAAAGATCTTATGATAGTCAATATGGGACCTCACCACCCATCCATGCATGGTGTTCTTCGCCTAATTGTTACTCTACATGGCGAGGATGTTGTTGACTGTGAACCCATATTGGGTTATTTACATAGAGGAATGGAAAAAATTGCCGAAAACCGCGCAATTATACAATATTTACCTTATGTAACGCGATGGGATTATTTAGCTACTATGTTTACAGAAGCAATAACAGTAAATGGACTAGAACAATTGGGAAATATTCAAGTTCCTAAAAGGGCCAGCTATATCAGAGTAATTATGCTGGAATTGAGTCGTATAGCTTCTCATCTGTTATGGCTTGGCCCTTTTATGGCAGATATTGGGGCACAGACTCCCTTTTTCTATATTTTCAGAGAACGAGAATTTGTATATGATCTATTCAAAGCTGCCACCGGTATGAGAATGATGCATAATTTTTTTCGTATTGGAGGAATAGCGGCTGATTTGCCTTATGGTTGGATAGATAAATGCTTGGATTTTTGTGATTATTTTTTAACAGAGGTTGTTGAATATCAAAAACTGATTACACGAAATCCTATTTTTTTAGAACGGGTTGAAGGCGTTGGGATTATTAGTGGGGAAGAAGCAATAAATTGGGGTTTATCCGGACCAATGCTACGAGCATCCGGAATACCATGGGATCTTCGTAAAGTTGATCGTTATGAATCTTACGATGAATTTGAATGGGAAATTCAGTGGCAAAAACAAGGAGATTCATTAGCTCGTTATTTAGTACGACTTAGCGAAATGACAGAATCCATAAAAATTATTCAACAGGCTCTCGAAGGACTTCCGGAGGGTCCCTATGAGAATTTAGAAAGCATAGGCTTTGATAGAAAAAGGAATACAGAATGGAATGATTTTGAATATCGATTCATTAGTAAAAAACCTTCTCCTACGTTTGAATTATCGAAACAAGAACTTTATGTAAGAGTTGAAGCTCCAAAAGGGGAATTGGGAATTTTTCTGATAGGAGATCAAAGTGGTTTTCCTTGGAGATGGAAAATCCGACCGCCGGGTTTTATTAATTTGCAAATTCTTCCTGAACTAGTTAAAAGAATGAAACTGGCTGATATTATGACGATACTCGGTAGCATAGATATAATTATGGAGAGGTTGATCGTTAAAATGATAATTTATGCAACAGAAGTACAAACTATAAATTCTTTTGTTAGGTTGGAATCTTTAAAAGAGGTCTATGGACTCATATGGATATTTGTCCCTATATTTTCTCTTATATTGGGAATCATAACAGGCGTACTAGTAATTGTGTGGTTAGAACGAGAAATATCTGCAGGGATACAACAACGTATTGGACCTGAATACGCCGGCCCGCTGGGAATTCTTCAAGCTCTAGCCGACGGGACAAAACTACTTTTCAAAGAAGATCTTCGTCCATCTAGAGGAAATACTCCTTTATTTAGTATTGGACCATCTATAGCAGTTATTTCAATTTTACTAAGTTATTCTGTACTTCTCTTTAGCAATCACCTTGTTTTAGCGGATCTCAATATCGGTATTTTTTTATGGATTGCCATCTCAAGTATTGCTCTGATTGGACTTCTTATATCAGGATATGGATCAAATAATAAATATTCTTTTTTAGGTGGTCTGCGAGCTGCTGCCCAATAGATTAGTTATGAAATACCATTAACTCTATGTGTTTTATCAATATCTCTACGTGCGATTCGTTGAAACATAAACGTTTATTTTGACTATTCTGTTTCTTCTAGATGAATAAGTTAAAAAACGGACTATATATATTTATTTATCTTTCAGGTTAATCTTAATAAAAGTAATTTGATAGTTATATATGAGTGAAAAAAACTGCTTCTAAATTAGCAGTAAAAATAAAAATTGAATCTCATTTCCTATGTACAAAGGCTAAATGAAAATAAACATAAGCGTAAGAATAACTTTACCCCAAGGTTGATTGATTAGTCATCCTGGCTTGAAGCGGGTTAAAAAAAAAGATTAACCGTATGACGTTTTCACTATCAGTTATAGTTATATAGATTAACATACATGTATTACAAAGTGAGCGGCAATTAGGTAAAATGAGTGGATGCTTAGAAACACCAAAATACAGAAAGAATTTGTAATAGAGATTAATCAAATTGAAAAAGGATATTTATGCATAACATAAGATAACAAAAAAAAGAAGGTTAATTGGGGCTTGAAATTCGTAGAAATGATCAGACAGTACTCCCCAAGATTCCGATTCAGAGTATGCTCCTATCCACCGATAAATGTAATAACTATCAGAAACGAAATAATCCTTTATTTTTTAAGTCCCACCAACTTTTTTTTTTCGAAAAAAATAAATAAGAAAAGGAACGAAACAAGGATATTTATTTTCATATATTTAGAAAATAAAATAGACTTTATGTCATGAATAAGAAACTAATAGGATGTCTAATTCTTTTTCGTAATTGAAAACTAAGACGGGCGGAAATACATATTTTTACGTTTTACTAAGGAGTATTTTATTAAAGGATTCAGTTATTACTCAACAAATAGAAATTAAAATTTGTAAAGGATGAGATGAATTCCGAAGCGCTTTTTTTATTCTTAAGAATTTTAGCAGACAGAATTCCATTGGTATAATTCGGGAACCCAGATATATTTTTATTTAATCCATTTTAGAACACATCATATCGATATAAATAATACTAATCCGGTCCTTAGATTTATTTATGGCCCCCGAGGAGCCGTATGAGGCGAAGACCTCATGTACGGTTTTGTAATAGCGGTGAGAATAGTAATGTTATCACCGACTATAATTATCTAACAGTTTAAGTACAGTTGATATAGTTGAGGCACAATCAAAATATGGTTTTTGGGGATGGAATTTGTGGCGTCAACCTATAGGTTTTATCATTTTTCTAATTTCTTCCCTAGCAGAATGCGAGAGGTTACCGTTTGATTTACCAGAAGCGGAAGAAGAATTAATAGCGGGTTATCAAACTGAATATTCCGGTATGAAATTTGGTTTATTTTACGTTGCTTCTTATCTAAATCTATTAATTTCCCCATTATTTGTAACAGTTCTATACTTAGGCGGTTGGAATATTTCTATTCCATATGTATCTATTCTGGAGCTATTTGAGAGGGATCCCATTTTTGGAACAACAATTGGTATCTTTATTACATTAGCTAAAACTTATTTGTTCTTGTTCATTTCTATCGCAACAAGATGGACTTTACCTAGGCTAAGAATGGATCAACTATTAAATCTTGGATGGAAATTTCTTTTACCGATTTCACTTGGTAATCTATTATTAACAACTTCTTTCCGACTCTTTTCACTCTAAATTGAAAATGAATCCAACATATTCTTTAAGGATGAGAAAGAAATAAAGATCAAATTATTCATAGATAATTACAATATGCTTCCTATGATAACTGGGTTCATGAATTATGGTGAACAAACCCTACGAGCTGCAAGGTATATTGGTCAAGGTTTCATGATTACCTTATCCCACACAAATCGTTTACCTGTAACTATTCAATATCCCTATGAAAAATTAATAACATCTGAACGTTTCCGCGGTCGAATCCATTTCAAATTTGATAAATGCATTGCTTGTGAAGTATGTGTTCGAGTATGTCCTATTGATCTACCTGTTGTTGATTAGAAACTGGAAACTAATATTCGAAAAAAACGATTGCTTAATTACAGTATTGATTTTGGAATTTATATATTTTGTGGTAATTGTGTTGAGTATTGTCCAACAAATTGTTTGTCAATGACTGAAGAATATGAATTTTCAACTTATGATCGTCACGAATTAAATTATAATCAAATAGCTTTGGGTCGTTTACCAATGTCAGTAATTGACGATTACACTATTCGAACAATTTTGAATTCACCTGAAACAAAAAATGGGTAAACCCATTAATTTTATCAAAAAAAAATCCAAAATGGTTGAATTATATAAAGAATTTAATTAAAAATTTGTATTGTATTTATATAATAATATTAAGTATTTAAGGTGCATTCTTTTAATATAATATATTCGTAATTACTTTATTGAATTCTTGAAATGGATAGGTTGAAAATAAACTTTAGAATAAATAAAGAATAAAAAAGGCGAAACTGTCTAATAATTGTATCTACCTCAATTCATATCCATTAGATTCTAATTTTACTCTATTAGAAACATATTTAAAACAAATTCCCCGGTTAAATTAATAAGGTCATGAAAAGGATTTCGATTTTTTTCTTATTTTAATAATATAATGGATTTGCCTGGACCAATACATGATTTGTTTTTAGTTTTTCTGGGATCCGGTCTTATAATAGGAGGTCTGGGAGTGGTATTACTTCCCAACCCAATATTTTCAGCCTTTTCCTTAGGATTTGTTCTTGTTTGTATATCTTTATTGTATATTCTATCAAATTCCCATTTTGTAGCTGCCGCACAACTCCTTATTTACATGGGGGCCATAAATGTTTTAATCATATTTGCTGTGATGTTCATGAATGATTCAGAATATTCCACGGATTTAAATCTGTGGACTGTTGGAAATGGGATTACTTCATTGGTTTGTACAACTATTCTTTTTTCATTAATTTCTACTATTCTCGATACGTCATGGTACGGGGTTATTTGGACTACAAGATTAAACCAGATTTTAGAGCAAGATTTAATAAGTAATAGTCAACAAATAGGAATTCATTTATCAACAGATTTTTTTCTTCCATTTGAACTCATTTCAATAATTCTTTTAGTTGCTTTGATAAGTGCAATTTCTGTGGCTCGTCAATAAAAAAGGTTCTAATTAGTAAAGACCAAAGAAAACTTTTTGTATGTTATGAAATTTTTTTTACTAATATAGGTTTTATTCGTACTTTTTTTATATTTTAATTGATTGAATCCCGTGAATTTTTTTTATTATTCATATTGAAATGAATCAAAATTAATAAGGAGTTGCTAAATGATACTCGAACATATACTTGTTTTGTGTGCCTATTTATTTTTGATTGGTCTTTATGGATTGATCACGAGTCGAAATATGGTTAGGGCTCTTATGTGTCTTGAACTTATACTCAATGCAGTTAATATTAATTTCGTAACATTTTCTGATTTTTTTGATAATTCCCTGCTAAAGGGGATATTTTCTGCATTTTTGTTATCGCAATTGCAGCCGCTGAAGCAGCTATTGGATTAGCTATAGTCTCGTCAATTTATCGTAACAGAAAATCAACTCGCATCAACCAATCGATCTTATTAAATAAGTAGCATAAATAAAAAAATTATAGGTTGAAATTTGCATATATGATAGGTTATTACTTACTAGATTATATTTCTAGATTATATTTGTGAAAATCTAAGAAATCAAAGTATTTTAGCCCGATTTTTTATCAATTGAGCCGGAATTAATTAAAAAATTCTATTAAAAGAAATCATTGCTTCATCTAGTATTTTAATATATCATTTAGTTAGAAGTTTACTAGATTGAAAATTTATGACATTCAAAAATCTATAGATCCTATGTCACTTTCAGTAAAAATTTATGATACCTGTATAGGATGTACTCAGTGTGTCCGAGCGTGTCCTACAGACGTATTAGAAATGATACCTTGGGATGGATGTAAAGCTAAGCAAATAGCTTCCAGTCCAAGAACCGAGGATTGTGTTGGTTGTAAGAGATGTGAATCTGCCTGTCCAACAGATTTTTTGAGCGTTCAGGTTTATTTATGGCATGAAACAACTCGAAGCATGGGTCTAGCTTATTGATACGTTACCGAAAACCTCATTTGAATAAATTTAGAATACATTTCATACCATGCTGATAAAAAATCGTTTTGGACGATGCTTATGTAGAAAGCCTTTTTTTTGTTTCTAGTATTTCATTGACTAGCTGTTCGTTCTTTTTTTCTATAGTGGAGATAGTCGTACGTAATGACAGATCACAGCCATATTATTAAAAGCTTGTGGTAAAAAGGGGTTTCGTTCTAATGCCCGAAAATAATATTTTAAAGCTTTGGTATGTTCCCCATTACTTGTGTGGATAAGGCCTATATTATAGAGTATATAACTTCGATCATAGGGGTCAATTTCTGGTCGCATAGCTTAATAATAATTCTGTAATGCTTCCGCATAATTTCCTTCAGATTGAGCCGACATCCGTTACGGTCGTCATTCGCTTTAACGAATTCTCCGTTTCAGAACCGTATGTGAGATTTTCATCTCATACGGCTCCTCCTTTAGGTACATAATGAAAATAATCAATATATGGAAAATTTGATGTCATTATGAACTAAGCGGGGCTAATGTTTTTACAAGAAATCCCTAGCCAACCTTCTTGCAAAAGATATTTTTTTTACTACCAAGTGGGTTCATGCTAGATAAAAATAAAAAAAGGAAACTCTAAAAATTTCATTGTTCTCAACGCTCCTAAATTTCCAGGAATTAGTCACTTCAACAGTCTTCAATGGTTATACGGGTATCCAAAGTACGGACGAGATGGATGTTTATTGTTCCAACCATTTTAATTAGTCCCAATCCCAAAGAAGAAAAAGAAAGAAAAGGAATCGTTTTGAAGAAAGTTTTCGTGTTGTTGATTTCTCGGCGTAGTGCTTCTTCCCATGTGCCTCCTATTCGTATATTGTATTAGTGTAGTCGGATTGATCTGTAATACATGAACCATAGGTAAAAATCTTTTGCTCAATACTAAAATTCAAAATTCAAGCATCTAAGGCTGCATTAATCGTGGATACATGACAGAAGAGATTGCTTTTTTATATTATAAACTTCACCTTCAAAAGCGTAGATGTTTTTCAATACTCATTTTTTTTCTATTCCAAATCGGCGAGAAATAAAAATAAAATAATGATAATCAAATCGCACCATCTCTGTAATAAGTAAATGCCTCTTTTTCTCCCGAAGTTGTCGGAATGACTGGTAATAAGATATCGGCTACAATTGTAAAGGTTTTATCAATAAAATTTCCATTTATACGCAATCTTGGCATAGGTAGTAATCCATTCTATAACTCTTTTTATTTCCTTCACCTTTTCTTTTGTGAGAAAATTTTCTCACAAACAAAAGAATTTTATAGTACGAACTAACATAAAAGCGGAATCGTTAAAATAAAAAAAAATTCTATCTACTTCCAATTTTTTCCGGTCAAAAAAGGTAGCTATTAACCGTAATCTAAAAAACGATGAATAACTCGCTATTCACCCAGGTACTCAGTCATAATCCTGATGTCGGAGAGATGGCCGAGTGGTTGAAGGCGTAACATTGGAACTGTTATGTAGACTTTTGTTTACCGAGGGTTCGAATCCCTCTCTTTCCGTACTTTCAACTAATTCACCAATCTTACGTAATTGACCACAATGTATCAAATCAAATAAAAAATAATAGATATAAAATCTACATTTCTTTGATATGGAAAATGCTGGGAAGAACAAACAAGGGATCCAAACCTCCCTACCAATCTATGATACATGAATAGTAAAAAGATTCCCCGACCAAATCCCTTAACTTGTGCCTTTTTATTTTTAATAAAAAAAAGAGGTCAAAGGGGATTTGTCTGAACTCTTGTTTTCAGTTATTTTTTTTACTTAAGTTAGTTTTATTAAGTCTGTCGAGAGTAATATTCTACGACAAGCAATTCATTTATTTTCAAACCGACGCATTTCCTATCTATTATTTGATTTACTAACCCTTCATATTGGAATGTGTGAAGAGTAAGATGGTTTGGCAATTCCTCGGGGGCAGATGAATCAAGAAGATTTTTAACCAAAGTTCTAGAGTTTTGTTCATCCTTCACTGTAATAATATCTCGGGGTTTGCAGCGATAACTTGGTATATCAACTATACGACCATTCACTAAAATATGTCTGTGGTTAACTAATTGGCGCGCTTGAGGAATAGTCAAAGCCATACCCAATCTAAAAAGGATGTTATCCAAACGCATTTCAAGTAATTGTAATAAAACTTGACCCGTTGTATGACTTCATAATCATGCGGAAGGAAAAATGCCAAAATATAGTGTCTTGCTACATTTTCCTCTGAGGTATAGAAATTTCCTAAATACGATTAAAATTTTATTGCCAGCCTTATTCCTAACACTTTTTGCCAAGACAAAATCGAAAATGATATGCAAAGGCCTCACAGCTCTCAAGATAGTGTTTAGGCTCAAAAGAAGGTTTTGGTTAAGAGAGTGGATTAACTGTCCCATAAGTATGAAGATCATTTATTTGGATCAACAAGAGTGGTAAAAAGGAAGAAGATGATCCAAATATGTATATGCTAGCCATGAATTCACTTTTCAATGCATAAGACATGGTAATTAAAAGTCCAAATTAAAGTTCAAGTTGATAGAGTTGATTTTCAGAGAACAAATACTTTCAGTATGAGATGAGATGATCAAAATTAGCATTCCAAGCATGGTTCAGTCTTAACTTCTAACTTTCTTATGATGCATCAAACAACTAATCACTTAAACACTAAAATTATCTCTAAACTCTAAGCACTTTACAAAAAAAATTCATCATTATCCCCTATGCAAATGCAATGCAACCTATATGTCAACACTAGACTCAATCCTATAAGAATGAAATGCAATTATATGCTTTCTTTTCGGTTTGCAAAAACATGCAAAAATTTTCAAATTTATTTATTTATTTTGTTTTTTTCAATGCCTCTGATGAATGCATGATATGCATGTGATTCAAGGTGAAGGAAAATGAAAAACTAAGAAAACAAAACACAAAGTCAAACCCAAAATCTCTCTCCCACACTTAAATTACACAGTCCCTTGTGTAATGAAAGCAATGAGAGAGAGAAGTAACAAAATATAATACAAAATCGGAAAAGATGCAATGGTATAGACAATGAATAGGATGTGGTACCTTGTTTAATAAGTGGAGTGTGGGAGGATCCAGGTGTCAGAGGAGACTTGCTTGCTTTCCTCTGGTTCCTCCTCTCATATGTCCTTGAAGATGGCGCTGCTTCTTGTGGTGGGGGAATCCTGCTTGACCATAACTGCTCAGCTTGAGAAGTAGTACCTTGATTACCCCATTGCCATGTTTGTCGAACTTCAGAAGGGATGGGAGTTGGCGCTTCCCATGCTGATGGAATATGGGTCCTTGTATCATATGATGAAGCCCTTGGTTGTGTCCATGTCCCCAATTGATCACTTGGCTGTGCATGGAAGGAATGTCTTCGATGGGGGTTACAAACAGCTTCCTCTTCTTCAGTTGGCTCAGCTTGTGGCATTGGCTCTTCTTGATGAGAGGTGTACTTATGAGTGTGGCTCTGATGGGAAGCTCCTCCTGATGTAGCTTTGTTGTTCTTGAACTTCCCTTTAACCATTTTCACTAGCCTCTTAATGGCTTTGTCTTGCCACTTACACCATTTTTGATGGGTGTTGATGTGCTCATGAGCAGACTTCATAGAGCTCTCTTGGCTTGGGCCTCTATAAGGTTTGAAGTGGAACTGCCTTGAGCTGTAATTCAGCACTTCTTCTTCTTCAAGCTCTTCTTCTTCTTCTCGGGTCTCTCCTTGGCTTTCAGCACCAGCAGCAACATCTTCTTGGACTTCTTCTTCACGTTCTTCTCTTCTCTCTTCTCTAACTTCTTCTTCAACCTCTTCTTCTTCTTCTTCCTCACTAGCTTCTTCTCCCTCTTCAGGAATAGGGCTGCCTTTGTAAAGCCAATCTTCACTTGGGTTAATGCTGATGTTGCTCTTCATATTGATGGATGTGAGCCTTGGATTAGGGAGGAGGACTCTTGCTGGATCATCTAAGTCATTGAGGTACTTGTATACATGCTTGTCTTGGATGCTCTTCTCAATGAAATGGCTTCTCTTAAAATAGTCCATATCAATCCATAGTGGCTCTGAAGCATCATCTTCATGTCCCTCCAGGTCAACTACACTAGCCATAAGAACAGCTGTCACAACTCCTCCAATGTGGAGCTGTGGGTTTTTCTCCCTTTTCCCTTTGTGCATGACCCAGATCCTGTAGGTTAAGAGCTGCTCCATCAGCATGGTGACAAAGCATGGGAGCTTGGTTGGCGGCTGTAGTGTTGTTCCATTTCTGCTGGTGCCTACAAGCTCATACATCCCAAAGTACAGGAAGTCTCTCTCCTTTCCAGTGAAGTTTGTTGTTTCCTTTCTTGCAAAGAATGTATTTGCAAGCGCCTTATGAGCATACTTCACTGCAGGATTCTTGAGATGTTGGTTCCTTGTTGCTCTAGCTGTGAAATTTCCAGCCCCAATCATTCCCCATAGCATCTTGTGCTCCTTTTGGCCAATGAAGAACTTGTTCTTCTTGTGAGCATAAGACATCAGTCCAAGCGCCTGTGAGATATCAAGGGTGTTGTGAACCTTTGCTTTCCAAGCTTGAAGGAGATCCACCCATCTTCGTTGGGGAGCTCACTTTCATCATATCCAACCACTTTGAGAGTATAAAGGAATTGATAAGTGAGCTGCTGGTAGGAGGGAAGTCGCATCGCCATGAACTCACCAAGCCCCATGTGATCAAAGATACCCTTGCAATCATGATAGATCCCAAGTGCTCTCATTGTGTTAGCACAAGGGTACCTTGTGGGCTTGAAGGTGTACTGGTTGAAAGCTTCCATGAGTTCCCTAGCACTTGGCTCATGGTGTGGAACTTCGTCCTCCACAGTTTTTCCCTTTACTTTCTGCTTGGCGCCTTTGTCTCCAACTGGTCTCTTCCCAGCAGCCTTTGATAATTGCTCAGCAGCAGCACCCTTGCCCTTATCTTTTCTGACTCTTAGAGAAGTGGGCGCTCTCTCTTGTGTTGCTTTCCCTTTGCTTTCAGCTGTTGTTCTCGCTTTACCCATGGTACCTAAAAAAAAAAGCTTGAAGATACTATAAGTAAAAGAACAAAAGTTTGAGAAACTAATAACTGAAAGCTTAAAAAGGAATTTCTCTAAGGTAAAAGAAGTTTAACTAGTCACTAAACAAGATTAAACCTTCAAAAAGCAAAAATAATTCACAAGCTAACACTTTAGACATGCTAGAGTTTATGAATAAAAATTAAACATTCATGCATGTGAACCAAGCATGGTGACTCTAAGCAAAAGAGAAAATGATTATGCAAAGGGATATCAAACAAGCAAGAACTGAGATTAAAGAACAGTAAACAAAGCTTTAACAGTTAACTTGCTCATTTTAAACATATCCACCATGCAAAACCAAAGCACAACATCTTAAACTAAACAAAACTTGTTCTTAAAACCATAGAATTAACAAATTTAAGCACATGCAAAGTGTAAGAACAAGAAGTGAATAGTTGAGAAAACAAACTTTAATTAAGCTTCTGAGCACTTAGAAAAGATAAATAAGAGAGAGAGAGAGAGAGAGCTAAAAATGAAGTGGTAAGAGAAGAGAAGAGATTGTTGAGAAAAGTAGTAAAATGAAGTGTGAAGAGAAGAGAAGAGATTGTTGGTTCTTAAAGAGGGGAGTGGGGAACCAAAGGAATCAAAAGTGGGTGGGGGACAAGAATAAAAGTGCTCAGGAGCTCTGCAAAGTGTAAGGAAGGAGCCAAAGTTTAAATTTAAACCTTCTTGGCTCCAAGCCAAAGGACGGAATTTTTTTTGAAAGTTGAAGTACTTACCTCGCGGGGATATCGGTCACAATATAACCGATAAGAATGACCGATAGGGTGCCTATCGATCACAAGTGATCGATAGCACTGACCGATAGCTTCCTGTAAGATCTTCTCGGTCTCTAGCTGATCGATACACTGACTTAAATACATCCAATTACTTTGTATCGGTCACTCTCTAGACCGATAGAGTGACCAAAATATAA